AGGAGGAGGAGGAGGGAGGAGAAGGAGGAGAGGGGAGGGGGAAGAAGATACAGGCGTACAACCTTAAACATACAGAGAAATAAAGCAAGTGTCACAAACAAAAGCTCTGTTCTAAAACTCTGAACCCTGGTATGTCAGAAGTCACCGAATGTGTCCAGACCATCTATCCTCTGACAAAACAATGCAGAAGAATTCACCAAGGCCCCTCCTCGATTTAAAAATGACACAGAATGAGCAGCAGCACCCACCCGCAAGGGTAAAGTGCACCTCTCCCTCCCCTCCCCCTGCTCCCTCCCTCCCCCTCCCTCCCCGCCCCTCCCTCCCCTCTCCCTCCCTCTCTCTCCCTCCCGCCCCCTCCTGGCTTCCTCATTACCATGATGTTCCTTCAAAAATTCAAAGCAAGTCTCCATGGTTCAAAGTACTCCTTTCACTGTCAGCCTCATGCAAACCAAGCAGCAATCTTATGTAAAAACACTAAGTTTTGCATAAGTAGAATTTACTTATTAGCTCTTTTCCTTGAAAATAGGCCAACAAACACATTTGGTTTAATGGAGAAGGATCGATAGCCTTATGAAATAAGGCAACTCATTGCAACAAGCGTTTATTGAGTGCTTTCTAGGCACCAGGCACGGGGCCTACGTACCAGAAACATAAAGAGAAATAAATTACCATCCGTGCCCACAAACTGCAAATACCCTCCACCTACGAAGGCATGTTTAAGTGTCAGTCAGAGCACAGCTGTGAGACTCGCCTGCCGTCCACCATAACCATCATCATCATATTCACCACGGTTCCAACTGCTCTAAAAGGACCAAAGTCTCCATGGCCTAGAACCTCAGCACTAGGGAAAGTATGGCTAGTTTAGAACTCTCCTCCATCACGTCACTATCTTGATCAACACCGTCTAGTGGGGAGATTATGAACTAGAAGCCCGAGTCAGGAGCCCTGCAGCCACTCTGCGCCTTTCTGTCACTCTCATAGGCACGGCCTCTATTCTGCCAGACATGGCCACCCTCTCTCCCGAATTGTCCCCATGGATGTCCATCTGTGCCCTCAACTCATCCTTTCTCCAGCTGGAATGCGTTCCCTCCTCTTTGAATTTAGTCAATTATTCACTACAAAATTATTTTTTATGGTTATTTCTAGGTACTGGAAATCACTTTATTTTCCTGCCAAGAAGCTTAAAAGAATCTCCAGAATTACACCGACAAACGGTTGGCTTCTAATTTATTTCTGCCCTTTCTGGAACAGCTCCTGGACACGCCCCGGACCTTCGCACTGTCGCCTCCAGAACTCCCCGTCGCTCGGAAACTTGAATTTACTCCAGCGACTTTGCTCCAACAGACCCACCTGCCAATTCTCTCATTCTGCTTTTGCTTGCGTCTGACCAGCTTTCAACTCCTCCAAGGACTCTAAAGTCAGGACAGAGGTCATTTCCAAGGGAGGAGTGAAGGCTGGTGTTAAGGGACACCTGGCTAGCTTCTGATGAAGGGACGGTGTTTCTCAGCCTGGTCCGTGTTAAACAGATGTTCGTTCCGAGCATTTGCTATATTACATTTATGTTTCATGCTCTTTCTGTATATGTATTGTCTTTCCATAAAAAACACTCAACAACAAACGGTTAAGACTTGCGGATGTTAAACATTTCTCGGAGTAAACTCTTCTTTCATTTGTAACCTTCTATGTGATGTGGTCAATGTTTTCACAGACATTTCCATCTACGGTTTAAACCCGTTCATTTTACTTCTTCCTTTTCAGTTTCTCGGTTTCCTTCCTAATGATCTGAGTTTCTTCAGTCACTGTATTTAAAAACCTTTATCTCATTCTTTCCATCAGCAAGATGATTCTTGATTTGCCCCCTTCTAAACCCTAGTCAGTGCCTTCGCAACCTTGAACACGTGACGCCTGAGTTGACGCTGTCACAAGGCAGAGCAAGCAGTCTTAAGACATTACAAGCAGTGATTTCTGTTTCTCAAGTACTCTTGAACGCCTTCCAGATGGAAATAAATTGAAGTCTTCTTTCAACTGAAGTCTTTCTCCTGGGCCAGATGCCAGATTTAATAGTATGCATAATCACCTTCCTGCAAGCTATTTTTAACCTACATGTATTAGTTTTCTGCAAGAATTAAAAACACATTTTACAAACATGTCTGAGTTTCTGGCTACAATTAGGAATCCAAATTATACACAAAAAGGACACAAGCTATCTACAATATCTTTTAGAATATTATATGAAGAAACCCAGAAAAAATCAGAGCTGATTATACATGTGGCAGAAGAAAATCAATGAAATTTTGTGCAAGAACGAATGTGTTACTGGAATGTGAAGAAAAATTACAACGCACGCCCACGCGGTCTTCACTTGCTGCGTCCAGGTAATCTCAGGTGTGGGGCTTCCTCCAGCCCCGCAGGTGCCGCAGACAGTGTCTCCTGATCCTACCTCTGTGTGCTGGGGCTCCGGAGTAATTCAAGGACTCTCTGTAACAACAGAATTATCAGCATATTTTTAAAGTTACATAATTACAGCACCATGAGATAATGCTGAGAAAGAGCTACAGGGGATTTTCATTTCTTTCTGAAGGTTTCCACGTTGTACTGCCTTCGCCTAATGATACGCAGGCCAGTTTAGACCTGAGACCTGTATTTGACTTCAGCTTGGAGTCTGGAAGAGTCACTGCATAGAGGAATCTCCAATGAGGTAAATGAGGTATATGGTCCTGTGCTTTTATTTCTAATCATTCAATGCAACCGTATTTATGGAAGGAGTTTGATTTTACGGGTATTTCAAACCAAGTACTTAAATTGAACTTGTGATTTTGTGACACCTTCCCTAGGCAATTAGCCATCTAACTACCCACTTCATGCAATTTATAAGAATTTACCTTAAACCTGGTTGAGCAAAACCACGTCTCAACACAAAGGAATGATCTCATCATCAAATCATAATTGAGTGGAAAAACATGAAGGCATTTAATTTATTTTAATAAGGAAGTGAAGTGACTGATGTTCAATGAATGAGATAGTATCACTCAATGTGAATTACAGAGAACAATCCACAAAGGGAAGTTTCACTTTTCTATAGCATATTTCACATAATATATATAAATTCTCTTTAAACCTTTCTACGTGATAAAACTGTTCCTTTAATAAGTGCATTATTTGAGAGTTCCAGTCATTATCAAATAACATATCTAACATGTCTGGAGAACACTGCCTGGATCTTTAGTAATCTTATCCACTTCATTAGAATCCATACGATTTATCTACTAAAAATAAAGTCCGTATGATCAGCATCTTGGCTGCCGTGTTTAGAAAAATGGTTTTATTTATGTATTTATTTTAAAAACGATGTAACATCTAGAGTGTCGGGCACGATGCTAAGACTGGTGAGGAAGCAGCGATCAAAACAAGGTCTCTACTCACGGGCCTGGAGCTTCACTGAAGCAGCTGTAGTTAAACGAAGCAGAAATGTCTGCTAACAGCTTGTGTTCAACGTAAGATGAGAAATAAACGATGTTCTGACAGACTGTGAAAAGGGACTGACTCAGCGCGTGTGGTAGGGAGGGGTTAAGCGAAGCCTTCCCCAGTGCTCGTATGTAAGAGGAGGACGTTTAAAAGAAGCAGTGAAGGAGTAGCACTGCAGGCAGAGGAGGCAGCGTGCAGACAGCGCTCGGTCAGACGGGAGCTGCAGAGCTCCTGGGAGCTGCAAGGCCACGGTGACGGCCCGTCCTCGCTGGGCCGCGAGGAGAGGAACGGACGGAGGCTGGGGCGGGCGCCCAGGACCACGCCCTGCAGGAAGGGCTGAGCTTGCCCAGGATTCTGGGCTTCACTTCAGGACGTGGGACGCTAAGGACGGGTCAGAGCAGACGAATGGTGTTGTCAGATGAGTGTTTTTAAAAGCTCTCTCCAAACACAACAGACACTGCAGAGGGGAGACACCGAAGCGGGGACAGCAGATAGGACACAACGTAGTCCAGGCAAAACTGGGCGGGCGCCAGCAAGACGCCTGCGGTGAAGACGGAAGGACCCACGAGTCTGACACATGCTCGCCGACAGAGGCCAGCAGGGCATTCTTCTCAGCCTGGATGGGACTGAACTACTTTAACACAAGCTTTCAAACTACCTGCTTAGAGGAACTCTGCACCTGGTTCTTCAATGAGCTGGAGCATTAGAAAGCAAAGCCCTGTCACAGCTGTGATCTGAGGAACTCTCCGAGGACCCCAAACGTCACTCACACATACACACACACAGACACAAACACACATAGACACACACACATATGTGTGTATTTATATTCACCGATTCATATTGAAAGCCACATTTAGGAATAGATAAATAGATAGGTATTATTTAACTTATATTAAGACCTGGAAGTGAGAATCCAACATTATCTGAAGAAGCCACACTCAGCTCTGAAAGAAGAGCCTGATAGCTTTAGTGAAGCTGTCAGAACGCAGGCATATGCTTATTGAATCCAAAGTTTGCATTTTCTAAAATATACAAAGAGAGGTTGAAGCAAACGCCCCTTACTTCGGTGGTATCTGTGGTCCTGTCTTACGTGGGGAAGAAGTGTCTTCCTGAGCAGTGCATGCTAGTGCCTGTCTGGTCTGAAGGTGAGACCCCGAAACCACTGACTGTCAGCGCCGAGCGGCGCTGAGGCGCAAGTGGAGACTGCGATGCTGGCCGCGATGTCTCGTGATCTTGCTGAAAAATGCTGTTCCCCAATATTCCTCCTGTGAAACTTGGAGGTTGGATCAGATGATCCGCAAAGACTCCTCCAGCTCAGTATACGATGATAAAAAGTTCCTTAAGTGAAAAATGCATGCGATGGACAGGAGATTGGCCACACTTTCAACTAAATCCCTTAAAAGCACTTCTGGTACCAGGCTCTTCCAGAAGCAGGTTTAGACAGCAAACTTCACAGGCAGAGGGCAAAGAGAGGCGAGACCGCTTCCTCAGCAGGAGGGGGGCACGCCCTGCAGCTGCTCCCCTGCGGTCACTGCAGCATGGCTGTCCGCGGGGTCCCCGGGGGTGTCACCCGTCCCCCAAACCTGCATTTGCCCCCCCCAGAGGGGACAGCCCCTCGTAAGTGCCCCAACACACAACGGCAGAGCCACACACCCAAGCGCTGAGACCCAGGCGCCTGGGTGGGCAGGCGGGCAGGAGTCACCTCTGTGAAAAGTGACTGCTAACGTCTATTTTAAACCCTTTGAGTTCAAGTATTTAATTTCTCCTAATTTACCTTCTCTGTCGCGTGTTCACTCCACTTCCAGTTACCAACCAATAGATTAAAACAGCAGCTTCCCTGGTAGCGCGTCTCAGAGTAGACACGTTTCCACACTGACATTATTTCTGTAAAGCACCGTATTCATTGGTTATAAATAAACAATTGTAAGGTGAAATGAGCACACATTTGTTTCTTGAAGGCGCTCTTGCACCAAATGTCACACCGGGTGTGCTGAGCAAAGACAGCTTCCTCCTGCCGGCATTGGTCAACACTCGCGACACGGAAGCCATCACTCACTCGGGTCCACTCCCTGCTCAGTGGGCAATTTCAAAGGGAAAAAAAGCATCGGGTAGACTAATCTCTTCTATTTGAAAATAGAGGAACACATCACTTGACTTACGAGCTTCCTTTCATGTAAAGGTCCCAAAGCACTTTTTGAAAAGCACCTCTTCAGTTTCCCCAGCAGGCGTGTGAGGGACGTGCTGGCCATGGGTTGGAAATGGCAGGGAAGCATCCACATGGCTTGAGTGAAGTGGCCCGAGAGAGAAAGACAAACGCCAGACACGGTCACTTACATGTGGAATCTTAAAAAAAGGACACAAAAAACTTACTTACAAAACAGAGACAGACTCACAGACGTAGAAAACACACTTGCAGTTACCGGGGGGAAGGGGGTGGGAAGAGAGAAACTGGGACTTCAGGGTTTGCAGATACACACAACTACATATGAAAGAGATAAACAAGGTTTTTCTACATAGCCCAGGGAACTGCATTCAGTACCCTATAATGGCCTATAATGAAAACTAACATGAAAAGCAATACATATGTATGTGTGTGTAAGAATCACTGCGCTGTACGCCGGGATTAACACAACACTGTGCACTGACTGTCCCTCAGTAAAAAGCAAAACAGAAGCAAAGCCAGCGACGAGGCCTGGGCGGTGGGGTGCACCGCTGCGACCCTGCCCCAGGTCCTCTCCGGCGGGCATCCGAGGCAGGACCCTCACCCGATGGCTGAAACTGAGATCGTGGTGCTGAGGGGAAGGCGGCGACAGGAAACCCGCAGCGACGCACGCAGACGGGGCGAGGAGACGGCGGAGTGAAGGCCGAGTCCCCGGGCCCAGCAGCCCGGCGCGCGGAGACCCCGAGGACCGGGGCGGGGTTTCTGCTCCGTTTGTTTGATGAAGGGACCAGCCAAGCCGACCCCCACACGGGAGACCAGGGGCGGCTTCCGGGGTCTGGCCAGAGTCAGGCTGTCTGTGGAACTTCTCTCATCTCTTTTTTACTAAAAAGCCAAAGGAAAAGGAAGTCTTGGAAATCTTCAGATTTGCCAGCAAGGAAATTACTGAGAACCAAGGAAAAGGACCGTCTTCAACAACCCTCTTGAACGTGACTTCTCAGAGAAGGCAGGAGAGCTCGGCGGGCTGTCCGCGTCCTCCTGCACCTGCGGCTGACTCGCCAGGACTGTGATGCTCTCTCACGGCGCTCGGAGACCAGGCCCTCCCTGCTGGGGACCTCTTTATTTTGGAGAGAAACATGGGGTTGCGTGCAGAGGCACGTGCTTGCACCTACAGTCTCTGTGATGAATCCAGATGGGAAAAGCGCCCAGCCTGGGTTTTAGATAATCTGCTGTTATGCAAAACTCTGAAAAATAAAGGTTAACTTTTTAGCTGCAACTCAGTAACAATGAGTTGAGGGGACAAGTTTTTTCACGATGAGAAAGGGCAGATGCAAAGCTTCGTGTCGGTTACACGAGCCTTCGCTTTCAGGGCCGTGTCCAGCACTGCACTGGTGCTTTCTCCTTGGTCTTTTGAGCTTTGTGTTTTATTGAGTTAGCAATTACAAATGCTAAAGAGAAATCCACAAAAATAAGTCTTTAAACAGATAGGAAATCAAGGTTGATGTCTTCATGAAAAAGAAGTGCCCAACAGACATATGACTGCGTCCCGCCCCTGGGCATGTACCCCAAGGGAGCTCTAATTGGAAAAGACACCTGCACCCCAATCTTCACAGCAGCAGTATTTACAACAGCCAAGACATGGAGACAGCCTAAGTGTCCATCAACAGAGGACTGGGTAAAGAAGCTGTGGTATATCTATACAATGGAATACTACTCTGCCATAAAAAGTAATAAAATAATGCCATTTGCAGCAACATAGATGGACCTGGACATCATCATTCTAAGTGAATTAAGCCAGAAAGAGAAAGAAAATATCATATGTTATCACTCATATGTGGAATCTTAGGAAAAAGGACACAGATGAACTTATTTGCAAAACAGAGGGAGACTCACAGACACAGAAAACACACTTATAGTTACCAGGGGGGAAGCTGGAGGTGAGGGAGGGTGCACTAGGAGTTTGAGATTAGCAGATACAGACTACTAGAAACAAAACAGACTAACAGCAAGGTCTACTGTACAGCACAGGGCACTACATTCAGGATCTTGGAACAGCCTGTAATGAAAAGAACGGGAAAATGAACGTAGGTGTGTAACTGAGCCACCTCGCTGTCCACCAGACACTAATCGAACACTGGAAATGCGTGACTGCAGGAGCCTGCAGATGAACGTGATGAAGGGGACCTGGCAGGTCGCAGTTCTCTGTGCTTCAGCTTTCTGACCAGCCTCCATCTGACTAAACGATGGTCCCATTTGGGGCTGCTGTGGTCACTGGCTCAGCCAACGCTTCGCCTGGTGCCTTTCAACTCCAAGCCGGTCCCCCCTCCCCAGGCTCTGCTGTCCACAGCTCCTCTCCTGGTCAGATTCCTCCAGGGAAGGTGACAGAGGGAGGCAGGAGGCAGAGGAGGCCCAGGTCACAGTGTGTCACCCCCCTTCTCCCCAGACAGCATGCACTCAGCACCGCCTGGCCACACCGCCTCCTCCCGCTGGGACCAGAGAAGCTATGACCAGACTGTGACCAGCCAGGGATGGTCTGGCCTCTAGCACCACAGAATGCACCTTCGTCAGAGAGCACAAAGAGGGAGAGAGGACAAAACAGTAGTGTCTACCAGACAGAGGACCGGAAAGCTCCCAGCCACTCACATCCGCATCTGGGAAGAAATGAACACAGTCAAATGTGTCTAGAAACGTTGACAGCCAGCTGCACCCAGCCTCTCTGGGTCTTGCTAATGACCGGTGTCCCTGCCTCAGAATTAAATCAGGTCACCCGGACATGCTTCCCCATCACTCTTCTTCTGTTCATAGCCTCAGCATAGCTATTTTATCTACTGGGGGTTAAGGTAAAGGGGCGCACGCAGGGCCATTCTTTCTGTGGGTTTGGAAACTTGACACACATCTGAGTAGATGTGAATTTTTCCCTGATTATGCAGCCGAGCAGGACCCTCTGGGGCCTTCCCAGGACAGACCACCTCCCCATGTCCTCCACCTGCTTCTTGTCTGTAGGAAAACTTTAATCTCCCAGGCCTTTCCCGAGTTCCAAAGAGTACATTAAATCAGAGAAGTGAGAAAATGCAGAGAAAAAGGAAAATCATCCAGCAAGACAAAATAATAACAGTTTAGCCATTAAACAAAGCCAAGGACCCTTAGCTCCCCGTCAGGGGTTACAGGTTATATTCTGACCCTGTCCTCGGATTGCAGTGCAGAGCCTGAAACCCCCGCCAGGTGGGAGAAGCTACCTCTCTGCTGCCCACACGCGCACGGACCCCTTCTGGAACCGGAGGCGGATGCTGACTCCGGATGACCTCCCCGCCAGCCAGTCCGAAGAACGTCCACCAGCTGACCACGCCCCTCACACCCCCCTCCCTCCCTGTCCTTAAACACCCTTTCCCGTCAGGGACTTCGGGTCTTTTAAGCGCCAGCTGCCTGGACTCCTTGCCCGGCGCCCTGCGATTATGCTGCACTTTTCTTCGCTACGACCCGGGGTCAGCAGGCTGGCTTCACGCGCGCCCACGAGCAGACCCAAGTTTGGTTTGCTAACAGTTCTTTCTGTTTGGATTCCTTACACTCACTTTTCCTGCCCCACCCGATTCGCCAAACTCAGAAGCAATGACTGGAGAAGACACAGTGGACAGCTGGTTAGGACAGGCATGGGGATGGAACCCACACCGGAATTCTCACCCGCCACCGCAAACCCCAAGCCGCACCCCAGGGAGTACTGGGACGGCATCTTGGCGGAGGAGCAGCTTGCGGTACCTTGCAGCCAAACCTTGGGAAAAGCCATATAATGTGCACAATTTATGCATGTTTCATTTTTCCTGGGGGAGCTGATTTCGATTTTCACCTACTGTGATTCAAAGTGACAACAACAATACAGAGACTGCTGTTCATTCTCTCGCCACATTTAAAAGGCTGGAAGTTGCACCAGTAATCAGACACTGGAAAACATTATCCACTTTCCAAGCCAAGTAAAGCAGAATTAATGGTTTAACAAGCAAAACAAACCAAAGGAAAAAGCTTTGAAGCAAGGTACGTAAATACAGAAAATCACTGTCAAATTTTTTTTTAATTTTGTACCAATGATGACAAAATGTTCCAAATTAATGTTACTTCAACATCAGTCTGTGTCGTCCGCATTAGTATGGTCGCCAAAGCAGATGTTACTTCTCCTGGTTATTTCTGTAGCTGTTTTCAAGCAGAGGAATCTAAGTGCCAGTCCTTTTTCTACAGAATGTGGGTGTATAACCATAAAGGCTATCATTACACATCCCCTAGACTGCTCCTCAGAGACAGCACTAAGGCAGTAGCACAGGGTCGGGGGCTGGTCAGCAGGGGCGTGAAAATGTGTGCCTAGCTCCTGTCTCTCTTCTGCCCAACCTCCCTGAATTTAGTCTTCAAAGCGCTTCTGCCAAGCTTCCGTGGATTTCTGCTTGCAGAAATACCGCTTTGATTGCCTTACTTCCAAAAGAGACCTACACAGCACTTCTTCCTGTGCTGGAAGCAAACCATTGTGATTATTTGCTGCTGACGTCTTCCATCAAAAACACTTGGTCATTTCTCTGATAATTAATGATATTGAGCATTTTTTCATGTGCTATTGATCATTTGTATTTCTTCCTTGGAGAATTGCTTGTTTAGGTCTTCTGCCCACTTTTGGATTGGGTTGTTTGGTTGTTTCTTATTAAGTCGTATGAGCTGCTTACGTATTCTGGAGATCAAGCCTTTGTCGGTTTCATTTGCAAACATTTTCTCCCATTCCATAGGTTGTCGTTTTGTTTTACTTCTGGTTTCCTTTGCTGTGCAGAAGCTTGTAAGTTTCATTAGGTCCCATTTGTTTATTCTTACTTTCATTTCTATTGCTTGGGTAGACTGCCCTAGGAGAACGTTTTTGAGATGTATGTCAGATAATGTTTTGCCTATGTTTTCTTCTAGGAGGTTAATAGTATCTTGTCTTATGTTTAAGTCTTTGATCCATTTTGAGTTTATTTTTGTGTATGGTGTAAGGGAGTGTTCTAGCTCATTGCTTTACAGGCTGCTGTCCAGTTTTCCCAACACCATTTGCTGTAGGGACTGTCTTTATTCCATTGTATATTCTTGCCTCCTTTGTCGAA